TCAGATAGACAGCCTTCCTCTCCCACTAGAGCCTCCATACTCTGCCATCCCTGCCACTGTCCACTGTGCTGTCAGCACCCCCATCCATTCCCCCCTATCTGCCCTTCTGGTAAATCTAGTCAGCCAGAGGTCCCGTGATCCAGGAGGATCAGCTGAAATTGATTTTTTTCTTTTTTTGAGACAGGGTCTCCCTGTAGCCCCAGCTGGCCTGGAGCTTGTTATTTAGACCAGGCTGGCCTCTGTCTCAGTGATTTGCCTGCCTCTGTCTCCTGAGTGCCAGAATTAAAGGCGTGGGCCACCATGCCCATCACCTATGGAGCACTGAGACCACTGGTGTCCAGTCTCCCCTCCTCTGGCACCCCACAGGGAAGGACACCACACCCATGCTTGGAGTCAGTTTGTCTGGGAAATAAGCCCCCCCCCGCCCCCCGCCCCATCCATCTAACTCAGTTCAGGGAGTGATTCTGATGGGCCTCTATAGTTAAAGAAAAAGAATGATTTGGTACTAGAATGTAGAACACAGAGCAAGTGGATTCAAATCCTGGCTGCCCATTTGTGACCTTGGACACCTTACTGAGCCTTGATTAGCTCTGTGTTAAAAAAAAAAAAAAAGAGCTAATAAACTAGGCATGGCTTTACGTTTAAAGAAGTAATCAAATAATACATTGAATTTTGTTTGTAGGTTAGGGATGACGGTGAAAGCCATCTTTGTGAATGTGTTAAGAATGTCCATAGTGGTTAGGAGTGGCGGCACATGCCTTTAATCCCAGCAGAGAGGGAGGGGATCTCTGTGAGTTCAAGGCTAACCTGGTCTACAGAGCTATTGTCTCAATACACCAAAGGAGTGGAGAAGGGAGAAAAAGAAAAAGGAGCTAATACACGTCATCACCGTTTAGGATGACGGATGCTTATAAACTGTGTAGAACAGCCCTTTCATTTAAAAGTACACATCAATCCTAAACTCTGCTTGTGGGCAGAGGCTGTGAGGCTCTTTCCAGAGCACTGTGGGACCTCTTTCAGGAGCAGTAGGCATTGGTCTTTCCTGTGATTTGTGGGGCTTTTTTCTAGACAGTCTCTAGCCTCTGATGCTGACCTCAGATTCTCTGTATAGCCTTGAACCTCTGCTCCTCCTGCCTCCACCTCCAGAGTTCTGGGATTATAGGTGTGCTCCACCACACCCTGTTTTATGGGGAGCACCTTGCATGCTAGGCAAGCCCTTAACCATCTGAGCCATATCCCCAGACCCTTGAGGGAACAAGTCTCTATTTCTTCTAGTTCCTGACCTGGTACCCTTCAACTGTGGGCAAACTCATGAGGTCTTGGGGAGCTGAGGTGGGGTGGGTGTGGCATGAGCTCAGGGCATCTTTCCTTATTTAGGAGGTCACTCCACAGAGCTTGTACCATCAGAGCTTGTAAATTAGGGCTGGTCCCCAGGAAAGTCCATTGGCTTCTGAGGACTTGCATTCCCCAGTCTTGGAGTCTGGCTAGAGCCGGCAGGGGCAACCTGGACCCCTCTGCTCTCCCTCTCCTGGAGAGGAGCAGGGTCAACCAGCCAGCTTTGATTTTTTTTTTTTTTTTCCCCCTTTGCCTGTAAAACAGGTTCCTTGGGCACCAGCGATAGGCAGGGCCGGGGCTGGGAGGTGTCTAGACTGCAGATTACCTGATCTGCCTGGCAGGATGTGGCTCAGCCTGGGAGAGATGCATTACCCAGCTCTACCCCTCTTAGCCCCTCCTCTCCCCAGGCCATTCATCCTTGGGAAAGGCCCTCGGGCCCACAACACCTGTCAGCTGTTGCCTGTAAGAGGGAAGGGTGGGGAAGAGGCTCTGCCAGAACTCTGGGTATTTCCAGTCTATGTGTCTTACCCCAAAGTCCAGGACACTTTATTGGCAGGGTAGGGGTATCTCCATGGGCACCAGGATAAGAGAGTAAGGATGCTGGAGGAACCATAGCCTAGTTTAGCTACCAGGGTTGTGAAACACTAGACCCAGGCAATTCACACATATTTGAGATATTCAGATCCATGATAGATACCTCAGTGTGAGGCATTGATTTTAGCTCATTGTAGCTGGTGTAAACAGGACCATGACAACAGCTGTGACCTTGGGAGGCTCAGCTGGCTGGGCTCAGCCTCCTCAGAGTCTGTTGGTAGGGTAGGGTCCCTGGGGGTGGAGGAAAACCAGATGGAAGGAACCAGAAAGACAGTGAGTGGGAAGGTTACCACCTGTAGTTTCAGTTGCCCTAGTGACCTGAATCTTCCTTTGTCTCAGCCATAGGCACCATGTCCGATCCAGGAGATGCCCGTCCAGTTCCATACAGGAGCAAGGTGTGTCGCCGTCTCTTTGGCCCCGTGGACAGTGAGGAATTGCGCCGAGACTGTGATGCCCTCATGGCCAGCTGCCTCCAGGAGGCCCGGGAACGGTGGAACTTCGACTTTGTGACGGAGACTCCGCTGGAGGGCAACTTCGCCTGGGAGCCCGTACGGGGTTTGGGGCTGCCCAAGCTCTACCTGACCCCCGGCTGCAGGGGTGGCCGTGACGACCTGGGAGGGGACAAGAGGCCCAGCACCTCTGCCCTGCTTCAGGGACCAGCTCTGGAGGACCATGTGGACCTGTCGCTGTCCTGCACCCTGGTGTCTCACTCCCCTGAGAGGCCTGAGGACTCCCCAGGTGGGCCCGGAACCTCTCAGGGCCGAAAACGGCGTCAGACTAGCATGACAGGTATGCACAGGTTCAGGGAAGGACATTGCAAGAGACCAGGATTCTCAGGGTCCAGCTTGTACCTTAAACAGAGAACCCAGAGAAGGGACACCACCTGCCTGATGTCACACAGGGAATCTGTAACCAAGATCAGCTAGCTAAGTACACACCAGGCTCTTGGCAGAGTTCCTAAGATGGAGTTCATTATTTTTTGAGACTGGGTCTCATATAGCTCAGGCTGGGCTGCGGCTCACTGTTTAGCCTAGGCTGGCCTTGAATTAGTGATGATCTTTCTGCCTCAACCTCTTCAGTGCTGGGATTATGAGTGTGAGCCACTGAGCCTGGCTTTAAACACTTATTACACTGCCCCTAAACCAAAGCCTTTGTAGAGAACATTTCAGCAAGTACTCAGCACCATGCCTCTTTATAGGTGAAGAGACTGAGGTTAAGCGGCCAGGGCAAAAGTCCTACGGCAAAGCTACAGTTGGGTCAGAATTGATAATGGACTAGTGTAGTAGCACCTGATGGTCACAAGGGCCAGGCATTTTCTCTGCAGTGATAAGAAGACCCAGGGCAGGGTTGGGCTTGGCAGTAGAACACTGGCCTAGAATCCAGAGACTGGGACCATGACCCAATAGTAGAGCACTGGCCTAGCATGTCCAGGTCATGGGTTCTATTCCCAGTACTTCCAAATAAATAAGAAAGGAGGGGCTGGAAAGAGATATTCAGCGGTTATGAGTGGATACACTCTTGCAGAGGACCAGAGTTAGGTTCCCAGCACCCATGTTGGGCAGCTCACAACTGCCTATAACTGCAACTCCATGGAATCCAACACTGCCTTCTGATCTCCTCAGGTACTGTACTTAAGAGATTAAAAAAAAAGCTCTAAGCTACTTGACCTGTGGCCAGTGTGATCTGGAACTGAATTCTGATTTGGGCAGATGGAAGATGCCCTGTGGCTGTGGCAGATGATGTCCCCTCCTGTGGCCATGTGTCCCTGTGACCCTGGGGAAGGGTATCCTTGGTCCTCTGCCTCTTGCTTCATGTATGTCTTTTGTCTTTCCACAGATTTCTACCACTCCAAGCGCCGGCTGGTCTTCTCTAAGAGGAAGCCCTAAATGTGCCATGAGAGGCCGAGAACTCTCCTACAGTGGGCCCAAATGCCCTTTCCCCATCCTCTGCCTTAACCCTTCCTTCAGTCTGTGTGTCTTAATTATTATTTGTGTTTTAATTTAAACATCTCCTGTATATACTCTGCCTGCCCTCCCCTATCCTCTAACTTTAGAGTTATTTAAAAAACCTAAATTAGACAGTAGGATGGTAGGCCCCTCAGTATGCTGGTTTTTTTTTTTTAATTATTATATTATGGATTATTTTTAAAACTTTTCCCCAAAAAACCTAAATTAGACAGTAGGATGGTAGGCCCCTCAGTATGCTGGTTTTTTTTTTTAATTATTATTATATGGAATATTATTTAAACCTTTCACCCCAAGCTCTTTGTTTCTTCTACATAGAAGTTGGGACTGGCTTCATGCCAGTTGTGCTTTCTTCCACCGCTCCTCTCTCCCCCGCCCTGGGTGGTACTGTTCCTAAGGGGCTTGGCTCCCTGACTCCTCTCTGTCTCATGGGTGTGACCCTCAGACCTGAGTTCCTCAGCACTTTGAAAGGGGCCCAGCCCAGTAGGACTTTTTGAGGTACCCTTGTCACCTCTAAGGTCAACCAGGGTGATTATGAAGTGGGCGCATCCTAACCAGAGCTGCTTAGCCCAGTTAGGTAGGACCCAGTTGTGATGTCCTGATTCTTGATACCCACTGGGTCCTGTGAAGGCAGGGAATGCCCCCCACCCTGGGTGCCCTTTGCCACTCCTAGGGAGTCTGCCTCCCATCTGGATTTCTCCATTGGCCACCCCTCTACCTTTGGAGGGTCCACCTGGCACTCTGCTGGTCTCCCCTAGTTCCTTCTCTAATCCCCCTTGGGCCATGGGAGGCAGCTCTGGGCACCGGTCCTTGCAACTCAAAGGACCAGAAGGTACACACCAAGCAGGGCTCCCTAGTTCTACCTCAGGCAGCTCGAGCAAGAACTGCCTCCTCTTTGTGGTTCTGGGGTGGGGTCCTTGGCAGTGGGACAGGTCTCCCTGAGCAGCCAGCATCCCTGTGTTAGGGGTGTGCGGTGGGGGCGTGGGCTTATCTAGGATGAGGATCCCAGTTCCTGGAGTCATTGTCCCCTTCCTTTGCACTTTGAGTAGCAGCCAGACAAGGAGTCAAGATGGTGCCCCAGGGGCTAAGTGTGCTAACAGGAGACTAGGAACGGTGGCCAGCTCTTTCCCAGCACTGAACACGGAGCCTCCAAGGGCGTCGAAGCACTTAGTGGGTCTGACTCCAAACACTCTCTAGTTCCTGTAGCATCTTGGCCTGGACTGTTTGCTCCCCCACCCCCTAAGAACATGTCCTGGTTCCTATCTCCACCCAGACTATAAACCTCCCAAGAGCAGAGACCACACCCTGCCCTGTGCCCTGTCCTTCACAGCCCTACCCTATAGCAGGTGCTCAATAAATATTTCTTATGACTTACAATGACTTGTCATTAGAACAAATGGGGGAGGTTTTGGGGCTGGCTCTGTGTGTTTGCTTTTATTTATTTTTTTGCCATTTGAGCATACATCTGTTCTCATCTTTCAATTTATTTTTACAGAAATTTTAAACAATTTTATTACATTTATTTTATATGTATGGGCATGCGTGTGGGCACACATGTAGCCATGTTGAGTGTAGAGGTCTGTCCTTCCACCGTGTGTGTCCCAGGGTTCAAACTCTAGTGGCGAGGCTTGGTGGCAAGTACCTTTACCTCCTGGCCCAGAGATATTTCAATTTAATAAATATTCCAATTAAAAATTTAGTTTTTTATTTTTGACAGTTTTATACATGCATTATAGTCCTTTCCGCTCTCCCGACCCCCACAGGGTCTTGAATTTGTGATCCTCCTGTTTCAGCCTCCTGAGCAGCTGGGATTACAGGACTGTCACAAGCCAGCTGTGTTTATAATTAAAATAATTTTCTGGGATGACAAGACGGTTTATCAGGTAAAAGTGCTGCCAAGCCTGATGACCTGAGTTCAATCTCCAGGATCCACATGGATCCTAGAAGGAAAGAATCACTCTTGCAAGCTGCCCTCTGACCTATCCCAGGGCTATAGTGAGACTTTGTCTCTAAATTAAAAAAAAAAAAAATGGAATTGAGGATGATGCCTGACATCAACCTCTGGCCTCCTCACTTGAACTCACCACGTGCACACACCTACACCAACATGTGCATGCACCATATGCAATACACACACACACACACACACACACACACGCACACCCCTGAAAGTATATACCCAGGTTTGAAGTACATACCTATAAATCCCAGCACCTGGGATGTGGCAGTCAGGCTGGGAGTTCACAACCAGACTGGACTACATAGTGAGGATTACAACCACATAAAAGCCCAGAAGAACAGAGTTCTGTTGTACATATGACTTGTGACTTGATTATTCAGTTATTATTTTTATTTTATGTGTATAAGTGGGTGCAATGACCACAGGAGTGAGAAGAACATATGGGATCCCCTGTAACTGAAGTTACAGATGGTTGTTAGCCGCCATGTGGGTGCTGGGTTCGAACCCCAGTCCTCTGCAAGAGTACTCAGTGCTCTTAACCACTGCACCATCTCTCCAGGCCCATGGCTTGATATGCATGATTAAACACCCTGATTCTGCCATCTAGCTGTTTCCAGATTTTGACAGCACCTAGTCACACACACACACAGATTGACTGTATAGCCCAGTCTGGCCTCAAACTTGAAATCCCCCTGCATCCTCATCCAAGTGCTGGGGTTAGAGGCGCTTGGGTGCCACTATGCCCAGCACCCAAGGGCCCTGGGATGAGACTCTCCCATTGAGGCTTTCCAGAAATTTCAACTCTCCCACAGATAATTTCCTTGGTGTTAAATTGTATAGACTGATATGGTTCCCTCTGGTTTTTAAAACTAGTTAGGCATTATTTACCTCTCGTTGTGCCTATGTGTGTGACTGGGTGCTGTCAAGATCTAGAAATAGCTAGATAGCAGAATCAGGAGCATGTACATGATTATATTTTAAGCCACCAAGTCTTTGGGTGTTTAATCATGAATAATCAAGTCATATGCACACCTTCAATCCTAGCACTCGGGAGGCAGAGTCGGGCGGATCTCTGTGATATCAAGGCCTGCCTGGTCTACATAGTGAGTTCTAGGCCAGCTGGGGCTACAGGAAGACCCTGTCTCAAAAAAACCCAAAATAAATACATAAATAAATAGAAAGTCCCAGCATGCCCTAGTTCATTTGATCCTGAAAACTAGTATGTTCAATCTGACTTTCTGTAGGCAAGGGGACATGAAGTACCTTCACTCCTCTTTCCCAATGTGGACTGGAAAGATGGTTTTATTGTATCATTAGCTTCTCACAGTCAGGGGCCGTGTAGATTATTCTGGTAAAGACCCACATGTGATATAAGAGCTGAGATTAAAGAGGATCACGCGTGGGAAACCACTGATGACTATGCTCCATTCTGTTCTCACAGGGAGAACATAGGGTGTGTGGGAAGGAGATGTGGGGGGGCACCTTGGCATCTTTAGGGGTGTCATCTATCTATGAAACCCTACCCCAGATGTGATATTTCTTTTAACTTATCTCCTTGAGTAGTAGGATAATTTTTAGAGAAGTCTATTTATTTATTTGTGTGTGTGTGTGTGTGTGTGTGTGTGTGTGTCTTGTGTAGGCCATGTGTGTACCAGTGCCCTTGGAGACCCTATTTTAAAATATGTATTTATTTATTTTTAATATTTTATTTTATGTGTATGAGTGTATTGCCTGTGTACATGTAAGTACACCCGTGTCATGCAATACCCATGGGTGTTAGAAGAGGGCATTGGAGTCCCCTGGAACTGGAGCTAGGGAAGTTGTTAGTTGCCATGTGGGTGCTGGGATTTCAACCAGGGTCCTCTGCAAAAGTAGCCAATGTTCTTAACCACTGAGCCATCTCCCCCAACCCCTATTTATTTTTATTTTATGCATATGTGCAAGTGCCTGCATGTATGTAAGTGCACCATATAAATGCAGTGAATTCGGAGGCCAAAAGGCATCAGATCCCCTAGAGCTGGAGTTGCAGGCAGTTATGAGCCGCTGTGTAGGTGCTGGGAACTGAACCTGGGTTCTCTGAAAGAGTAGCCATTGCTCTTACCTTTTGAGCCAAATCTCCAGCCCCAGTTTTTTTAGGCTTTATTTTGGCCTTCTTCCTGTAAAGCAGTAGTTGGGTAGCTAAGAGAACCAGAGTGAGCCATTTTCCAGCTGCCGTGTGGACTGCCCCCATTGCACTCTGTCGTGTGGTCAGGAAACACCCTCAGGATAGGTACACAGACTCACAGCCCTCATTCAGAGGTGAACTTGGACAGGATTTCATTTGCCACCTGGCTTTCTGTTGTCACCCTCCCACTCCCAGCCAAGGATGTCATCGAGTTTGAGGTCTTCTGGGATAAATCATTCATTTTATTTGAGGCTTCTACTTTGCTTACTTGTTGCTGCATCCAAATACCTAACAAGAAGCAACTCAGGGAGGGCTTATTTTGGCTCGTGGTTTGAGGGTGCCTACTCTCTGTTGTGGTAGGGAGGATGAGGGGCAGGGATGACTCCCTGCATAGCAGTAGAAGTATGAGGCTGCTTGTCACATCTGGGTTGGTCAAGAACCTAAGCAGAGATGGAAGCTGGAGAGATGGCTCAGCAATTGAGAGCACTGGCTGCTCTTGCAGAGGACATGGGTTCAATTCCTAGCACACATATGGCAGCTAACAACCATCCGTAACTCCAGTTCCAGGGGAATTTTAAGTCCTCTTCTGTACTCTGTGAGCATTGCACAAGGGTGCCCTTACATACATGCAGGCAAAACACTCATATGTACAAAATAAAAATAAAAGGGGGCTGGAGAGATGGCTCAGCAGTTAAGAGTACTGACTGCTCTTGCAAAAGACCTGGGTTCGATTCCCAGCACCTATATGGTGGCTAACAACTGTCTGTAATTCCAGTTCCAGAGAAATCTGATGCCCTCTTCTGACCTTGCAGATATTGCATGACATGGGTGTACTTACATACATGCAGGGAATATACTCATACACATAAAATTAAAATAATAAAATATTTTTAAAAATAAATTAAAAGAAAAAAGTAGAGAGAAAACAGGAAGTGGGGTGGGACTATAAACCGCAACCCCC